CTTGGTCATTTATGCTTGGAAATAGAAAAGCGGTTCATTAACTGACCAAAAATATTTAGGACGTTTCTGCTTTATTCAAGGTGAGTGAAATATGTTGTTTTGAGAAATAAAACCTGATTTTCTCCTCAAGATCGCAGCAAGAGTTGGCGAGATAACAGAGAATCTTTAAGAAAACAGGAAATTTGGCTTGGAAGAAGTGGTTTGTTTTATATTGGTAATTTCTCGTTTTGGTGAAGTATTATTTGGTAGCTTGTAAGATGGCGCGCGTCTCTTAGTTTAGGGCGTTTCTACTTTGTTCAAGGTGGGCGAAATATGTTCTTTTGGGAAATAAAGCCTGGTTTTTTCCTCAAGATCGCAGCTGGAGTTAGCGAGATAACAGAGAATCGTTAAGGAAACAGAAAAATTGGCTTGGAATAAGAAGGATGTTTCAGATTGGTGATTTCTCGTTTTGGTGAAGTATTATTTGGTAACTTGTAAGATAGCGCGGTCTCCTAGTTTCCAGTTGGATGAAGAAGTTAGGATTCTTTCAGATGATTTGTAATGAAATAAATTTGGTCTGAACAATGCTGCGATCAATCAACTCTCACGTCACAGTTGTGATGGAAACCGCATTCCTTCTGGGAGACCCACAGCTTTACTCACCCCTCATGTCATTAAACTTTATTTATATCTAATCTAGAAATCTCTGCAACAGAGACTCTTCGTATTCCAAAGATTTCTCATTTGCCCGCTAGGACCCTGTGTCACAATGAATCTGTTGTACTTAAGACTCCACGGACTGAAGTCAGATCTTCGACGAACAATGTTCTTTTTTGTCGGGTCACTTACAAGCGGAAAACTAATTTGTGCAGCAAAGTGTTGCAATGGATAATTCATGTAGATTTGATTTGCCTGTCATTAAAAAAAATTAAGAATATCTCAAATTAATGATACCTTAGTAATATCTTTTATTCTCCACTCGACGTTTTTTGTCATCGCATGTCTACATTCCATTGGAGAGCTGACAACTCCGACGTCCACAGAAAAGGGAAACAATCTTTAAAATATCGTGAGCATAAAGTAAATATGATCGAAAGGTAAACAGTACTACTTTTTTGTGGTGATCAGAATCCTCTTAAAACAGTGAATACCGGAAATTAGAACTGAAAAATGATCAGAGACAAGGCTCAGCACATCAATCAGTGTCTTCTTGAGATGCTATGGATGTAAGAGCGAAAAAAAAACCTTCTCTTCAGAAATGTGAACATTTGTACAGCTACAGCAAATAATATAGTAGTAGTAGCCCAGAGAAATTACATCACCGTATTTTCAGACTGTTTTCATGTAGTAGATTTACAGAATCAAAATCACAGAACAATCAATGCGATCAATTACACATCAATGCGTTTAACATAGTCTCCTACAGCGTGCTGTCGACCTTTAATTTTTCTGAAAAAAGCGAACAAGAAGACCATTCAACTGAAATCAACCAACCCTTCCTGTTAATGGCAGAGCGCGATGACCTGACTCTATTTTCATAACCATTTTATCGACCGTCCAGCCAGTAATTTAACTGTCTTTGAGGCAAGGCCTTGTTTATTCGTATTTCACAAGCTTACCCTAAGGCGGTGGCATA